CTCGTCCCCCGACACGTCCTCACCACCGATGCGACCGCCGCTCCTCCCCGCGCTGGGCTCCCACGACTGCTCCCCCCTATCTCGGTCCTTTCCTTTGCCCGGCGGTTACCGACTGTCCTGACAACTGAGGGTGGGCTCTCCGCATTCGCCGCCTCAGACTATTTTGTTTTCCCCAATCAGGCCCGGTCGCCAGTTTTCTCGGTCAGACTCTGGTCTGGATTGGAGCAGCTGCGCTGGGGTGGTGTTTGCGGTGTGGAGTGACGCAGAATTTGAACATCCTGGTCCTGACCACAGGACGCGCCGACCATTCAAAGCTACATATACCTGCACTTGATGCAAAAAAGTGGAACCGCGTTGCAAACGTTTTGCTACTCCAATGGCGATGCATTTGTGGACGGTGTCTTGTATCGATCCGGAAGGGCATCGCCTACCCTTCCGACGGAACGTGGTTCTTGCGACGATGGTCCATTTTCTAGTGCGTACTGTCCTACCACGTGTATTTAGTCAGCTTAAGTATATCGCCGTCCCTTGCTGTTTTCTTGAGACAGGCTGTGCTGATATTTTGGCCGGTGATGGGGTGCGGCGGCGCTCATCTCCATCTCCGCGCTGATTCCCTGCTGCCGCTCTGAGAAGTGGCTGTTTGTGACTGGTCTGACTCCGCGTCTCGCCGCGCTGACTGTGTTGGTGCTGCCCGATGTGTGGCTGCTTCCGTGACTGGCCGCTACTCCGCGTCTCGTCGCGCTGACTCTGTTGCCGCTGCTCCGATGTGTGGCTGCCTCCGTGACTGACCGCTGACTGTTGGTGCTGCTCCGATGTGTGGCTGCCTCCGTGACTGACCGCTGACTCCGCGTCTCGTCACGCTGACTGTGGCTGCTGCTCCGATGTGTGGCTGCCTCTGTGCCTGGTCGCTGACTCCGCGCCTCGCCGCGCAGATCGCGGCCGAGATCGCCGCGCCGCTCTCCAAGGTGGACGAGATGGTGCTGCTGGGCGGCGAGAGCCAGCTGACCTCGGAGCTGACGCGTCTCGTCGGCCAGGTGCCGCCGGCCGTCAGCGCCCTCACCGGGGTCGACCTCTCGAAGGTGGGTGGCGAGCGGCCTGACCTGACGCAGTGACGAGGGCGCCAGCGTAGCGTCCTCACAAGGTGTACCGCTGACGGGCCCACTGTACGGCGCCTCGCCGGCGCAGGGGCCCAACTTCGAGCGGGCGAGTCACGCCGTGTTTGTGGCGACGGTCTGCCCGGTTGCCGGCCGGCCGTGCGCGGCCGGTCGTCCGGCGCCGGCCAGCGTGCTGACCGTCTGTCCTGCTTCCAGGTGCTGAGCCGCGTGCCGGGCGCCGAGGTCAAGGCGTAGGCGGCCGGACAGCTGGACAGCCGCCCGGCTGGGGTGGGCCGCGCCGCGGCCGCCGGCGCCGCCCAGCCGCACAGCCGCCCCTCCCCGACCCCCGCGGGGCCGCGCCGGCCAGGCGGGCCTCCGGCGCCGCGTCGGATGTGTGCGTGGCATCATGCGAGCTTGTCGGATGGGTGGAGACAATGCTGATGGTCCGTAAACGCTTCGGGCCTGCGCGCCGCTAAATGGTAGTCATTGGATCTATTTGCATGTGGGTCTGTTCTGCGCGCCCGCCAGGTGCCAAGGGTACGTTCGGGTGGCCTCTCGTTTAGCTTGTATAGTCAGCGTTGTCTGTACATCATTACCAGTATGTGCTGAGCCGAAAAGGGGTCACCGCGCATTTAACCGCTTTTGCCATGTAGAGGCGTCCAGAAATAGACTAGTAGTTGTAGCAGGGGTCACCTCATGGAGCTGGGAGATCGCAGAGCGTTTTGAAGGGAGCTGGGTCTCAGCCTTCATTCGAAACGCTTTGTACGATTTGGCGTTTGTCAGCGGAGTTCAGCTGGAGGTCTGGCGTTTTTTGGTGTGTACCACCTAACTGATGTTGGTAGGAGCAGCGGCGTCGCGTGCGCTCTCTGACATGCCCTCCGTGGTCGCGCGACCGCTCGCAAGTATCATCAGTGCCGCAACGAAGGCCAGTGTGTGTGTTTCAGCGGCCGTGGCCGCGTCGCTGCAGCCGCCCGCACGTGCCAGCGCCCCAGGCGTCTCGTCGCTGCCTTGCACCCACCGCGTTCGGAATGTTTTTACACCCCGATGTGGTGTCGCCGTCTTTGTGTGTGGGGTGGCGCTGTAGCCTAGGCCTCGGTGTGCGAGTGTACAACGGTTCGAGCCACGCGCGACTCAAACTCGGCCGGTGCGGAAGTAGCGACTGTGACGAGGCACGTTCTGGTATGTTCAGCGGCAGTACGTCTCCTGCCTTGAGAGTCTGGTGTCTGTGGATTTATCCTGTAATTTCCCCCGGTATCACATGTTTGTCCTCCGTGCTTTATGCTCTTTTTTCACGTGATCAGATATCACACCCGAATGCTTCGAAAATATTGCCTTTGCGGCAGGAGTGCATCTCACCACCAAGACACCTCATGGTCGTCGGGTCCAACTGGAAGGCGGATGTCACTTCTGCGCCTGTGTGGGCGATTCCAGCGTGAGCTATGCCCGTTCCTACTGCCAGGGTTTTGGCGTCTGGTGCGGATCTGCCCATGCGCGCTCAACATCGTGCATGATCCGCCTGATCACGTGACCTGACTGACTTGCCTCACAGCTTCTGTCCGAGAACGTCTACGTCCTTGGCAATGGTTGTCTTATACGTGCCGTCTCTCTTGGCGCTTCTGTACTCCACTGCGGGTGTACCTCACCGCGGGAGTATTTCGGGAGCGCCGGTGCGTTAGCCTCGCGCGTGCCTTTTCTTGTTTGGCACTTCTGCGCTCCGCTGCGGACTTATTTCGGGAGCACCAATGCGTTGGCGTCATCCGCGCCTCCGTATTGATATGAATCTGACTAGTACTGTCGCTGCGCCCTGTATTGAGTGGCTTACCTTCTGACCAACGACGCTATATCGCACCTCATCTCGCAGGGCCGTGCTATATGCGCGTCCACGCGCCCGTGTTTTGTTTTTTATCTCGAGACGTGAGTTCAAGTTTCCGTTCCCAGCCATCCGTGTCCAGCCTGTCAGTGAATCCCATTATGACGTATTGGCACCCCACTCGTCGCGTTCTCTACGCGGTCCGTGCGCAGCGTAGGGGCGGGCGGGGGTGGCCGGGCCGCCTCGCTGTGGCGCCCTCTCGAGCCTCGTCTTGCCCGCCCTGGGTGTGTGACGATGCGGCTTCCCCCGCAATACGTTTTATTTGTATGTGTGTTCAACCCCGCCGCTTGTCACCATTATGTTCAATCCCGCGTACTGGCCGCGAATACACGTTGGCTCAGCTCGGCGGCCTACCTTCCGGAAGGGGACGGCGGTGAACATCGGAGCTAGGTGAACGGACGGTTGGGCGCATTAGTTAGCGATTTATGGTCACCCACCAGGTCTGCAGCGGACCTATGCCAGCTGGCAAGCCTTACACGACAGGCGACGATTCTAGTCCGCTTGACAACCATCTTACATTTGGCTGCTCGCGGGCGAAGGACATCAGAGTCCGTCTTCATTTGGCTCGATGCCGGCATGCGGCGTTGAATGCACGATGAGTCTGTTTCCTGGCGGTAGAGACTGCTCTGAGTGCACAGACGTTTGGTTACTGGGGGATGGCCCGCTGCTAAAAGAGGAACGTCAACAGCCGGCGGCGGGGACATTGGTCTCGCTCCTACAGCGTTACTCGCTCTTATCATCTAGATAAGATCGACTCTGCGCTAGGTGAGGTCGGCTCCACCGCTGCCACCCCGGCAACCGATGGTGACCCGCGGTCACCAGCCGCAGTCACCAGCCGCGCTCGCCAGCCGCGGTCACCAGCCGAGGTCACCAGACGCAGGCACTAGCTGCGGTCACATGCCGCGGTCGCTAGCCGGGCATGGGAGGGACAGCCTCTGCTGAGGCCACGACCGGGGACCGCCACCGCCCCTGCCATGACCGCCCGTGGAAACAGGGGGTGCCGCGTTCAAGCTGGCCACCGACGAACTCGCCGTCTGAGGTTGGATTCCCCTACGGCACCCGTCCTGCCAGGGCGAGGCAGGCGGTGCCACACAGCCTCAGCTGCTGTTCGAGTGCGCTGCACAGCACTCGACACCATGCTCTGGAGCTCAAGCGTGCCAACGACGCTCGGACGGAAGGTGGGCGGCTTGCGACACGAACGGCCTGTGCGGGTCGTGCCTGCCCCATCCTTCCCCGCGGCCCACGGGCGGTCGTTTCACGACAGGTCGCCGGACTCAACCATGTTCGTTGCATGCTTCCGATGAGGTCGTGCCGCGCAATAGCAGGGTGGTGAGGTGAGCGGACCGCGCCCTAAAACCCCAAATCATCATCACGAGGTGAGCGGACTGTAACGCCGCGTACCAGCCATGCGTCGTACAGGTGAGGATTGTGAAATCGCATGATTCATGATGATAACTTTTCCTTCCGACGATTTTACTGTCGCGTTACCACCATGATCAAGCACACGCACAGATATCGGCCGTCCAGCAGCTGATGTGCGTCCGATCAGAACAGGGCGGTCTGGTTCGTTTCTCATCGTCATCACGCTCCTAACGTGTTGAAAGTCCGTAGTTTCTTTTGTGTTTAATGCAGAGGATAAAACCACCACAACGGCGCGGCACCGCCACCGCTTCCAACACCTCTCCCGCCAACAAAATAGCCACACAGTGATAGGCGGCGAGGGAGAACCGCCGCCGGCTACGTACGGGACGCGGCGTCCGCCCCGGCAGCGGTCACAACAGCCGCGCCAGCGCGCTGCCGGCGCCGCCGCCGCCCACAGCCTCGCGCTAGACGCGGACAAGACAAGGCAAACGAGCACAGCTACAGACACCGAACAGCGCCGCTGGCCGACCGGCCCGGCCGGCCGCAGAGCGCCACACCGCGACAAAAAGCGCGCGCCCACATGACTCGCGAGCCCGCGCGGCCGGTCAGTCTCCCCCGGGTCGCGGCGCTCACGTAAAACTAGCCATGCTGAACTGCCGGCGCCGCCGGCACAAGCTCGCCGGTGCCGCGACGATTCCGTTTCGCGAGCGACCGCCTTCGAGACGGCGCCCCGCTCACCACCCGGACAGCCTGTGATATCGGCAGTGCATGCGACGACGCGATCTAAGCAGCACAGTGGCCTTATGCTAAACAACCGCACCGGTCGCCGAGACGCGACACACCCACAAGTCCTGTGGCCAACACCTCCGCGTCGCCTCGACGGCTAGGCCGACAGCAGCCACACGCGCGAAACGATGGGATACGATTGCACAGAGTACGCGGGGCGGCGACGACCCGTCACAAGGTCAGGATGTCCGTGCGTTGGCTTCAATAACAACAGTATCCACTGAAATATGGCTCAGAAACGTGCCGGAAAATGCAGGCGTGTGCAAGCTAACTACCACCCGATATTGGATGACCTTTAAGAAAGAAGTACTGTAAAGTAACATGCTTATTCTACCTTAAAAACTAACAGCCCCAGTGGCTATAACAAACAACGTGGCGAATGGGAGCGGCCTAGACAAGCCCGATAGTTCGCCGCCTATGCAACACAGAGCGGGACACGAGGCCTCGAGTGACTAGGTTACAGCACACACTCCACGGCGGACGCCTGCCGCCGCCGTTTGATTCCACCGCAGCCCTCACAAAGGGCTCGCACAAAAATATATACCAACTACGCACCAGCACGTCACCTCCGCACGCGCGTCTACGGTTCAGTTTGAGCAGCTCTAACTACAGACCAGCACAACCACAATGCGTGCGCCCGGCACTCAGTACCCGTGACATTCGCTCCGCCCCGCGAGCCCTTCGATCTCCGCAGCGCGACTGCAGCGCCTCTGATGGTGACCTCCGCCTCTGCCTCCAATCGCGGCCCGGTGTCGTCATCGTCTCGTACACATTGGTCAACGATCCCTGAGTCACGCCCACAACCCGCAGGCATCCTCCAATCAGCGAGGACCCCCTACGACCGCTGACCAATTAGTGCCGAGCCGCCGCAACCGCATTCCAATGAGCGTCGAGCCGCCGAGACAGTGGGCCAATCAGCGTTGAGTAAACGCAACAGGTCACTAATCACCGCCCAGTCACCGCGACAACTAACCGACCGTCCGCAGTAGACCAGAGCAAGACGAGGTTCAACTGCAGTCGCGCAGACGCCAGGACTCGTCCGCCGGGCCCACGCACGCTCCTCGGTGCTCTCGGCGCCGGCCAGGTGCTGCCCCGCCCGGCGGCGGGGCGCTCTAGCCCAGCTCGCCGGTCTCCGTGTGGGTGAGGGCCGGGTCGGAGCCGCTCGAGCCCGTCCTGTAGCGTTCCAGCGTGCGCTGCACATACTCGGGCAGATGTCCCGCGACGCGGTGCTCTGCGGGCGGACAGGCGGCACACCGTTAGGCCAAATTGTCACGTCACAGCCAGACGGCGCACTGTCAGGTCAAATCGTCAGGTCACAGCCAGACGGCGTAGGTCAAATCGTCAGGCCACAGCTAGACGGCGCACTGTCAGTTCAAATCGTCAGCCCACAGCCAGACGGCGCACTGTCAGTTCAAATCGTCAGGCCACAGTCAGACGGCGCACTGGAAGGTACGATCGTCAGCCCACAGCCAGACGGCGCACTGGCAGGTCAAATCGTCAGGTCACAGCCAGACGGCGCACTGGAAGGTACATCGTCAGGCCACAGCCAGACGGCGCACTGGAAGGTCAAATCGTTAGGTCACAGCCAGACGGCGCACTGTCAGTTCAAATCGTCAGGCCACAGCCAGACGGCGCACTGGAAGGTCAAATCGTCAGGTCACAGCCAGACGGCGCACTGTCAGTTCAAATCGTCAGGTCACAGCCAGACGGCGCACTGTCAGGTCAAATCGTCAGGTCACAGCCAGACGGCGCACTGGCAGGCTACGCACACGACTGCGCCGTGAATCCACACCGGGATTGCCGCGTTGCGGACCACACACCGCACATGGTGAGGATTCTGACAGACCGCGTTAGGCTCACGCGCCTACGGAGTATTAACGGCTTTCACAATAAGTTGTCTCTGAGGCACAGGACATTGCCAGTGAAATTTAACGTGAATTTTGATGACCCCAAAGATGACTCAAATCAAGTGATGATGATTCAAGTCAAAACATAAATTTTGCTCCAGCCAACCCAATTCTCACCCATTTTCCAACAAACGAATTAACACTATTGACGACTAAATGGTTATAGACACGGTTGCCATTGTGAAAATGACAACGAAGACCGCGTACGAAAGGAATGCGTCAAATTCACAAGCAAATGGCACATTCTGATTGGCTGAGCCCACAGACGGACGTGACGAGTTACCGCACGGACGGGACACGCGTCCTGCACGCCTGGATCGCGCGTGGTGAGTGGGGGAATGAAGAACCTAACCCCCTTGATCCGTTTGTTTGGTCTACAGAACATGTGTCCAGTGACGGGACAAAGCGCTTAGTTTCAGGACCTGCTGGATGTTGGGTTCCACAGAGAGGTGAGACATACTGGTTCACCTACGAACTAGATGCAAGAGTGGAGACCGACATGATTTCATGGGCACGCTATTGTGACATGACTTGGGACGTGGTTCACGCGGGACATGACTTCACAGACCAACGAGGCGTGTTTAGGTTAAAGGCTGGTTGAAAACAGGCTGACTTAGACGGTCAGAACACGTTAAGCGCAAAGGTCGACAAGATCCATCAGTACGTCGAGTCAACACACGGAGTCTTGATTTGGCGGACAGATCGGACACATTGATTTCACTTCGACGGAAATTGTGGCTGAGTTCACGGACAATCGAGACAACTTAATTCAAAAACGGACAGGACACTCATGAAAGAAAGGGTAGACAGCGTCCGCTGCATGACAGAAGGAACGGTACCAGCTGAGCTTACAAAGGAAAGGTGTATGTTGCGTACATAGGGACACTGGAAATGTTTATTTCGAGGCAGATGGGATGGGATGTCAGATCACAAAAGGACCGGACATCTTCAGCCCGGTAGAGACGGCCCAATACAGACGAGACATGTTGGCGCTTCAGTTCAGTCCGCGGACGAACGGGGCCTACTGCACAAAGAACGCCCACAACTTGATGCGGCGAGTGGACAGCTCCCAGACTGGCGGCACACGGCGAGCCCGCCGCCGCCGCGCCACTCACTGTGCGTCTGCTTGATGACACGCTCCGCCAGCTGGCTGATCTCCTCCCGGGTGGGGCAGGGCCCGCCGTCGGCCGGCGCCACCAGGCGCGCCTTCAGCGCCAGCGAGAGCTCGCGCAGCGCCGTCGTCAGGCGCCCTGCGGCAGAGGTGGGCCGGGCGGGCGTCATGTCGGGCCGACGCCGGAGCGCTCCGGGGCATACTGGACCGGGGTACGCGGTAACACGTCCCGCCTATCCTCCTCCGGCTGGAGCTGGTGATACCGGAGCAGCAGCCCTCGCTTCACAATCATCGCGGAACGGTCTCCCTTCAGTGTCGTGAAGCGCACACGGCCATCAGGCGACTAACATTTGACCAACTGCCTGGCGAATCAACGGTTTGCCATGCCCCAGAGTTTTAATACCCTCATCCACCGTAAAATATTACGCAGCTAAATTAGCGTGTCCCGACTACTTGTGTCCACAAACTAGTGTGCACCGACTACCACTTCCAGGCGACCAGACTATAGACCACAAAAAATCCTTCGCCAGAGAAGAACCAGCGTGCACGACACCGCTGCCATGTCCGGCAACACTGGTAAAACGGACCGGGCAGCGGCCTGCCTGCCTCGCCGCAGCGACCGGCGGTCCACTCACTGTGCTCCTCGCCCAGTCCAGACAGCTGGATCTTGTTCGCCTCGTGCTGCGCCTTCTTCTTCAGACGGCACGCTCTGCCGGAGGCCGCAGGGTCAGCATGGCCCATACGACCGTGGCAGGGGAGAGGGAGGGAAGGGGACACTCGGCGCAATGACGGCGGGGCGGGCGCGCGACAGCACGGCCCGGGGGGACTGGGTAGGACGGAGGGGCCACCGAAGACGAGCACACGGGCCGGGGGGGCACGGACCAGCACGGTACAGCTGACAGTCACGCGGCCGTCACGCCACACCTGGAGCTTGACGACGATGTGAGGCGTCTGTCGGCCGGTGAGCACTCAGTCCGGCAACGAGCCGCGATACATGTGTAACTCCCCCGAGGCCTGAGCTTCACTCCTCCGCTCCGAACTGCACGGCTCCGCTGGTTACTCAGCAGCCATGCCTATCTCAATATCCGACACCTGATAACGAGACCACTCCACAGTCCCGCCACGTCACTCCACAGCGCTGCGGCCGAGGACAATGGACTCACCGGCCGCAAGTCAGCCGTCCCACCGCTGCACGACCGCCACACGCGGCCGGCCGGGTCACCGCCGGCCCAACCCACCTGGAGGCCAGCTTGTTCTTCTCCTTGCGCGACTTGGGCCGCACGTTGAAGGGCAGCTCGGAGACGGGCGTCATGTCGTTGATCAGGCGGTTCAGCTTGTCCAGGTCGCGCTGGATGTTGAGCAGCTTCCTGGGACTGGGCGTCAGGTCGTTGCCGTCGCCGCGCCGCGCCTTACCGCTGCGAACGGCACAGCCAGTCAGCCTCTGCAGTGCGGCGGGCGCCGGCTGGCGCGGTCCCACACACTGTCAGCCCCGGGCCGACCCGCGCGGCCCGCCGCCGCTCCGGCTCCGCACGCGCGGCCGCTCCAGGACGGCCAGCCACTGTCGTTCTGTTGGCGGTGTGCGCTTGAGGGCGCGGAGGATATTGGGTTTCCCATGACGGGGGCCTCAACGTGCATTCTTGGTGGTACGCAGATACGCGGTACAACCGAAACAAACACACAATGGGCCTGTTTACAGCAGACACACGGTGACCACCACCTGACTATGAGGGCCCAAGTCCTCGGCCATATGGCGCCCACAGACTGCCTGTTGTGTCCGCGCAGCAGTTCTGGCTACGGCCGGGTGGGGCCGAAGCAGCCCCGGCCGGGCCGACTGCCTGGTCTCGCCAATAGCCAGGTGGTTGGTCGCTCCTGGCCGACACGGCGGCGCGAATCGCCGTGTGCGCGTCGTAACACGTAGTCGCGTACTGGAGCACTTCATGCAACCTTACTCGGCACCGCCAAAAATAACCCGGCTGCAATATTGATGCGGCCTAACATAGCGTCGGTGAAGGTGTATCCCTCGCTATAAATAGCCGCCCAGGGACTGGCGTCGCCAGAAATAGCCGCGTGACGCTCGGAAGCTTTGAAAGTCACCGGGGGACGGCAGCCGACGGCGCCAGGTCCGGCCCGAGGATCGGCCCGGGGCCGTCCGGCCGTGGGACATCTCGCCACTGACCGGCACGCTGCTCCACGGTCTGGGCGCGCTCCGCACGTGGACGGCGACTCCCGTCCTAGCGCGTCGTCGCCAGCGAGAGGGTGGCGCGTGAGCGACCGCGGCCACATGTGTGCCTGTGCATTCCCTGCCCCTTACGGTAACCACCCGGATCACGGCAGTCTGATCTGAACCGGCGCGGAGTTCAAGGTGCTGCCTAACTTTAGCTGGGCTAATTACATTGCAGCATTAAGCGGCCGTGGGATCAGGTCAGCTTACACTGGAGGACTGCTCAGCCATAGTCGGCATCATTTTACAACACGTGGAAGTCGTGATATCCTTGTTAGTGTCGGCGTGGTAGGCAGAGCATGCCGGGGAAAACCGAAAGACGACTTACGGTCAGTATCAAACCCACACAAGGTCCGGCTACAAGGTTAGCCCTCTACCCCCCCGCCGGCGGCCCGCCAGATCCGAATCTCCAAACCCACACAAGGTCCGGCTACAGGGTCAGCCCTCCACCCCCGCCGGCGGCCCGCCAGACCCGAGTCTCAAACCCACACAAGGTCCGGCTACAAGGTCAGCCCTCTACCTCCACCGGTGGCCTGCCAGCCCGCTGGTGTCCCATCCGCCCGGTCAGGTCGGCTCGTGCGACGCCAGGTCACGCCCCGCCCACCTGTGCTTGATGCCGTCCATCTTGATGCTGGACGAGAAGACGGGATCGACTGCCTGGCTGATGTGGTGCGGGTCGTTCAGGTCCTCGGTCAGCTGAATCCGCTGGCCCTTTGGCCCCTTGGCCTGCACGTTGTACTGGCCAGAAGTAGCGCTCCTTTCGGCTGAGTGATGAGCTCAGCGCCTCATCGCCCAGCGCCGAGCCTGCCGCACGCGCGTTCCCGTCACGCGCGTCACACACGCGTACACATTTAGACATACATAGCGAAGCACTCGCCTGCCAGCTGGGTCAGGGTCGCGCCAGCAGAGGCCGCCGAGCAGATCGCAAACGTGACAGTCAGCGGCGCTTCGACAGCACACAGCGCTTAACATGAAGGGACAGATAGGCAGCGCTGCATAACTACGAACAGCCCCAGCTCAGCAGGCCGGCTCCAAGCGAGACCCGGCACAGCGACGGGCGAGAGCAGCGTGGCGCTGACGACACGCGGCACCTGTGCCCCTGCTTGGGCGCCAGCCGGTGGCGGGTGACGGCGGTCGAGAGCGAGGGCAGGAGGGCAGCCCGTCGGCGGGAGACGAGCGCTCACCTGCGTCACTGTCGCTGTCCGAGTAGTGCTCGTAGGGTGAGTCGGCGCCCTCGTCCACGAACGAGTCGTGCGAGCCGGGGCTGAGCACACCTGACGGGGGGCGCGGAACACACGGTCAGAGGCCGGGCCTGGGCCACCGCCCGCGCCGCCCGCGGCACACGCCCCGGACACGCCCAGAGACACGCCCGCCGACAGGGTCGACCAGCACGCTGACACTCAGACGCTCACGCGACACGCAACAGAACACAGCGCACGCCACCGCGGCTCTGTGACAATCGGCATTCAGACCCAGGATGCTGAACAGGACGGTGCCTGACCGTCGTCGCGCGAGCTGTGCATGTCGTGAGTTATACTCGAACTGAGCAGTATTACTAAACAAACAGGCCCCGGTGTACCCAGTCGTTGGCACAGCCCAAGGCCAACCGGCCGGTGTTCGAGAGACAGCAGGCCGTGCAGCCAGCCATGTCCTCTCGGGGAGGGGTGGGGGTGGGGGGGGGGGTACTCGTGACATCGGCTGAAGGCAGGGGGGCGACTCAGCCCACTTCTACAGGTGTTCGGCCGGCGACACACCGCACGACAGCAGAGGCGCATCCGCGGGCCGGGGGCCCGGACGACGCGGTGGCGAGCGCCGCCGACCGCGCCCGACGGCGGCGCCGGGGCCCCAGGCCGCCGCCGCTCTCACCTGTGGAGACGGACGAGCTGGAACCGCGCAGCTCGTCCATGCGGCCGACGCCGGCGAGCGGCATGAGGCGCGACACGCGCTGCTCCAGCTGGCTGTCACAAGGCACCGAGCTGCTGAGCCGGGCCGGCCGGGCTGCCGGCGGCCGGCGCCCGCGTGCGGGGCCGAGCCGCCCAGCGGCTGCGCCAGCAGCGCCTGCAGCGTCAAGCCGGCCGCCGGAGGTGGGCGCCGGCCGGCGCGGCTCGGTGCGCCGCGCCGCCGCGAAGCTCGGCAGCATCGGGTCGTGCTGGCCCACCAGCCCCGGCCGTGACGCCTGCGGCGCGAACGACGCCGGGATCGACGACGAGAACGACGGCCACTCGCTCTTCATCGGCGCGTCGAACAGCTCCGTCTTGACGAGCGGCGGAGGTGGTAGCGGCCGCTCGCCGAACCCGCCGCTGCCGCCGCCGCCGCTGCCGAAGTCCAGTGACAGCTCGTTGAGGTCGTCGCCAGCGTTCAGCTCGGTGAGCGTGGGCTCGCGCAGCGCCGGCCCCGAGATCAGGTCCGCCACGTCCACGTCCTCGAAGATGTCGTCGATCTGGATCTCGGCCAGGTTGCGCGCCAGCTCGGGCTCGTGCAAGGCGCCGTGCCAGGCAGCCCCCGGGCTGGGGCTGGAGCCGTACTCAGCCAGCGGCGGGTACGAGGCTCCGCCGGCCGACGTGGCCAGCTCGGGCTCGGTGCGGCCGGCACGCATCTCGGTGAACTCGGGTCGCGAGAACGGCCACTGCTGGCGGCCGGGGATCGGCACGCCGGCCGTGTACGTCTGCGCGTCCTCGTCGGCGCCCAGCGACGCCTCCATCAGCTGGTCCATGTCCATGCACCAGGCGCCGGTGGACGGCGGACTCAGCCCTACGCCCAGCGCTCGATGAATCTGCCGGAGGCGGTGCGCGCCGTTAGTCACCCACACGGCACCGCACTGCCGCACCGTCACAGCCCGAGCGGTTGGCAACCGGCCGCTCAGCTGGCTCCGCAGGACAAGGGCACGACCGAACAAAGAGCAGCACCGCCAAACAAAGAGGTCACGCCCGCGGGGAGAGAGCGGGGGGGGGGGGCAACGGCGGTCGCACTCCCGCGCCGCCGTCGGCCACGCACCAGCCACCGTCCGGTGCCACGTAACAGCCGCGGCCGAGCAGACAGCGCAGCCTCCAGCTCTGCCCGCCCAGAGTGCATCGAGTGCGCTTACGCGCCGTCAACCACCACAAATACACGCACGTCAGACCGATCCCGGGCCAACTGCGGCTAGCAAGCGGAAAGACGCCAGTCCGCGGCTTGCGCAAGCTGTTACGTAAAAGCCGTTTGGTGGCTGTCGGGACGACCCCGTCGCTGTGACGCACCGCCGCGGCGGAGCCCCGGCAAAGGTCAGCCCAGTTCGGCACAGTGCCAGAGCACGTCACGAGCAACAGAGCGGCTCACGACCAACAAGCTCATGACCAAAACAAACCGTGAAGCTCGAACCTCGTGCATCAGTGTAACCCAATGTCCCCATCGAAGTAGATCCCTGGCCTTTTAGTTTGTTCTCACCTCAGGTTGCACATTGCCAGTGTAGCAGGGTTGATGTCAAGGTCGCCCACTACACCGCCCGACAAAGCTCCAAGGTCATCGGCAGAGCCAAGTGCGTGCGCGCGAACGCACTAGCCGTTCCCCGCCCCGCACACCACGCGGACGGACGGCAGCCGCCCGTACACAAAAGCCGCCAGCGGCCCGTGCTGGTCGTCCGGAGCCCAAAGCCACTGTCGCCGTCCCGCCACTTCCAGTGACGAGGCCCGGGGTAAACACTCGGCACGCCCCCCTCGTGCCGCGCGGCCGCCGCTACTACCGCCACTATCAAAAACAAATTACGTAAGGCGCGCGCGCCGGCCGGGCCGGGGTCAACGGACGGCGGAGCGGGGTGGGCGGCGCGGCGCCGCATTCTGCGGCGGCCGGCGACCTTGAGAGCCAGTCACGTGCCGGCCGGCCAGCGTCACGTGAGCGGCTGATGGCGGGGCCGCCATGGCCGCCGCCGCGCCGCCGCCGCGCGCGCGGCTGCACGCGGGCTGACCGTGTGGAGCGCGCGTCGGCCGTCATGCGGTCAGCGTGACGACGCGGCCGGACCCGGCGACCCCTGCGGCGCGCGGCTCGGAAAGGCGGGGTGGCGCCAACGTCCCGGCCAATGGGAGCCGCGCAGGCGACGCGGCGGGACCCAGCCGCCTCCAAGTCGAGCCTAACATGCACCGCGTGTTGTCAGAATGCACGCTCTACGCTCTCACAGAAGAGGCGGGCCATGCTCTTGCCTAGCCCTGCTCCTACGATTACAGTTGCCAGGCCCGACTCGAAACGCAATGATCAGCTCAGCTGCGTTGTGGCGGGAGGAGAGCGATACGCCGAAGAAACGGAATGTAGACGATGAGATGAAGAGCTTCTAGCACTCGAGATGAGACGACACCTTGAGCTAATCCACACGCATGAAACCAACGCGACGCGTGCAGAAGGGGGCTCAACGGACTTAACGCATCTCACAATCCTTCACGGACACAGGACTAAAAGGTACTGATAACATAGGTATGGTACCGGTACTGATCATAAAAAGGTAAATAGGTACATGACTAACGTCCCAAAAATGCTTCCCGAACCCCTGTTGTATTTTGCATGCGCTGACGACTGACATTTAAAAGCAGTTATTCGGAGCGCTGATGTCATCACCACATTCAACAGCACGTAACTTTATGCTGCACGGTCGGGGGAGAAGCTCAATTTTTAGAGTGGTTCCTCTACCTACCCATCTCCCATGGACAGGCGACCACCAGGGCCGTCCCCACGCACTGCGGCACAGAGCCGCACAATGACAGCCACGCCGCAAGCCCAGCATCGAGAAGCAGACGAAGCTGCGAAATGTATTCGGCTTCTGGACTTCATCAGACTCAGTAAACACTGACGCGCCTTTCTGAACGATTAACACACGTAAACACATCCACACCACACCATGTCTAATCTTTTACACTGACGAGGGCTACATGCCGAATGTGGTTTCTGACCGTTGAGAATGAGTAGGCATTAAAGCCGGCCCAATGACCTGAAATGTTGCTTAGGATGGCACACATATAGAACTGTTTATTCCAAATCCAACGGGGAAGAAATAAATTATTCGCAACTGGGAGCTCAAACATATGAATCATACGATTAACGCCAACTGAACTTCAAGACACTGACGCTTAAAAAACCTCCCAATCCAAAAATTTCAGGCTACCTTGACGTCAAGAAGGGCTAAAGCTGAAGCATAAAGCAAGCAAAAGCTGCCAATCATGGCCGCTGCAAATCATCGCAGCTAATATGTATAATAATGTTTATGACCCTATCCCTGACCATCTTAAGCACACACTCGCCTGCCCAGCAGAAAGTCGCAACGACCTTCGGTATGCCACCTCAGAGCCTGCACAGTGGATTATCTAAAACCACTTGTACCCGCGACGATATCACGCCATACTTCGCCGAAAACAGACCAGTAACTCAAAAGCTATGCTGGGGCCGGCGCAGTACCGGCGTGAAATTGTCGTTGCAAAAACACACATGTCTCCTCTGCAGGAACACAACCACCACGTCCCCCCCCCCCCCCCCCTCCAGCATAGCGTATCCCCCGCCCTATCACGTGGGTTTTCAAAGGCATGCTGGACTTCGGACTCCTCAGCTCAACATAAACACACGCCTTGCCACGCGATACCGGCCACGTTGCAGCCGGCACGGAAGGCCTAGTTACGACGGTTTTCGTCCGTTGCAACCGGCTAAATATACCGAACTGTTACATGACCACTTACGATACATGTGACACTCGTGCTATTTTCGTGAGCCGATTGTCAGCTCGACCACGACATTGCACATTGAATAATGAACGACGTACGTGTATTATTTAGTGAGAGCAATGGATCACTGAATATTGGATGCATGAAGCAGTGCGCTTTAATACTGGTAACGGAAGGCGCTTCATAAAATACACCAATGAAATAAAAAGTCAGCATAGGTTTTCGATAAGAACAGGTTTTCGTCTCTAAGTCCCATAAGCGAGTCCAATGAGCCCAAGCCACGCACAGCAGAGATCACAAACACTGCGGAGAACGTCCCACTGAATAAAACGGCCGCACCAGGCGGCCCGGCCGGCGGCAGCGGTGACCCGCGAGGGCGTGACCGTGGGCATGGGTGGGCCGTGCTCCGCGCGCCTCCCCGCCGCCCGGGAGACCAGGCTGTCGGCGGCGTCCCCACTCACCAGCGAGCCGGTCTGCGGCAGCGAGTCGGTCACCTCTGGCGACGGGCGGCCGCCGAATCGGCCGTCGCCGCCGCCGCCGCGCCGCTCCAGGCCGGGGCCCTCCAGGGCAATCGGGAGCCGCTGCCGCTCCCACGGTCGGCTCGTCTCCACGTCAGCGGCCGCCGCCGCCGCGCTCACAGCACACCTGGCCGGCCAGGGGCAGCCGTCAGCCGGGCACGCCGCTCGCCGCCAACACCGACGGCCCATGTATCCACACACACACACACACACAGAGAGAGACACACACAGAGCGACCGGACGCCACCGCGCGACTGAGCGACACGCCGCACAGCTGGGGGCGCTCTCACGCCGGGTCGCGTTGGGTTCAAACGGCTTCGGAATCAAGCGGGTACACTGCGTACCATCGGCACGGCGCATGGGGGCCGTCGGGACGCATCATCCGCCACCGCACCGACACACCGAGCAATGTCGCGGGATGTTAACTCTGCAGCCACCACCAAACAACTGACCGGCGCCTGTCAAACAGGCCCTTATATACCGAACGATACTGTGCCGCCCGACATCACCCTGCATTCAATTAGAATGTACTCGAAGGATGTGACTATTAATGCTCACGGGTGTTCTCGAACAACATGAGTACGACCCACTTGTACGGATGACCTCAGGTCTCTTGACCCAAGATGACCCAAGGTCACTTATGTGAAGGTCATCAGATAGTCATGAATTGCCATATGACGTCATCAGGTTATTGAGATGTGACGCTATCACTTGACCTATGTCAGCGGAGTATGACGTCATCAGGTCATTAAGTCGGCATATGGGTGCCACTTCT